GAGGCATCCAGAGATTAAGTAGCCACCCAATGTTATACTGCAAGGAAGTGGCTAATGGGTGAGGAGAAATGAGGAAGTGGAGTGCTAGGGAGACTGTGACACCTGCCAGTACCCAATCCAGATTCGAGAATCTCCCCAAATGTGAGAAACCTTTACCTAAGTGAACTAAAAATGCAAGTCTCAAACATCTCCTTTCCCCCTCAAATGGACAACTGGGCTGTTGTTGCTTTAAGAGCAGGTGGACGAAGTTTGGAAGGGTTGTGCAAGTGGAACTGATAGCCACTAGGAAGGAAGGATGGACATAATCTCACCCACCTGATCCTAAATTGTGAGTTACTACCAGGATCAAGGTTTACCAGGATTCCCTAGTACAGACCCTTGGGAACGAAAGAGCTCGAAGTAACAGTTTCTGGACTTCACTTCCTAGAATTCTAGAGGAGGACCACATCCACAGACCCTTCCCTGGCGGCAGAGATGCCAACATCTACTGAACTGTGCATCCAGAATGCTAAGGGAGAACAATGTCCATGGTCCTGCCTCCCTGCAGCAAAAATGCATGTGGCCACAGGGAACAACTCCTGACTACACTCCCTACAGTGCCCTAGGGCAAAAAAGACTACAGTCCCTCTTCCTGGGTGGAAATGTGGATTTTTAAAAAAGATTTTATTTATTTACTTTAGAGCGAAGTGGAGGGAGGGAGAGAGAGAAACATGAATGTGTGAGAGTTACACCAATCAGCTGCCTCTCACATGCCCCCAACTGGGGGCGTGGCCTGCAACCCAGGCATATACCCTGACAGGGAATTGAACTGGTAACCTCTTGGTTTGAAGGCTGGTGCTCAATCCACTGAGCCACGTCAACCATGTGGATGTGTGGATTTGATACCTATAGACAGCCTGCCCAGAGCACTGGGAGTGGGTTGAGAGCGGGGAACAGAAGGAGCCACAAAGGAGACAGTGCTAGGCCATGGGAAAGGGACCTGGGAGCTGCTTGTGCACTAAGCCACACCCCTGGGAGAAAAAGGTCAAAGGTTTGAGTACTGAGGGCGTGCCATACAGCAAAGAATGCATTTGCGAACTGCTGTGGGCCATGGCAAGTACATTGACTTTGGCAGGGCAGTGCCATGTTGTACTTCATGGGACCATGAGGCCTGTTGAACAGCTAACTGAGCACATGCCTTATGCATGCTCCTACCCAGCTGGTACAGATGCCCTGCCCCTCCTGCTGAGGCCACACTTGGCACTTCCTGAGACTGTGCAGGGTTCCCAGGGCCCCTTTACTCAGGCCTTTGGTTCAGCTGCCCTCTGCAGGTGGGCCCCTAGTACGAGCAACTCTCTGCATGCAAAGACTAGGGCATGGAAGGCACAGAGTTGACAGAGCATCATGGGAGTCTCCTGCACCCAGCAAAGATGGCATGGGGGAGGTTCTTACACTGAGCATAAGCGAGGCTAGCAAGATAATTGGATAGAGGAAAAAGCCCTCCTACTCGCTTCCAGTGCCAGATTACTTAGTGGGATTAGGAGAAGGCAGGCACATTAGCCATACAGGACAGAATGGTGGGAAGAGGAGGTGCTGGACCAAAGAATCCTGTCAGTCTAGCCTGGAGAAGAGATTGGTTGGAAGGTGGATCCAACTAAAGCACACAAACGTTTGGGAAGCTAATCGGTCATTCTGAGAAAGTACCTAGTCTGTCTCACACCCCCCAAAAAATATAGTCCCAGAGGAACAAAGAAACACTCTCTTGCTCTTCACTCACTGCTTAGGACCTGCACTTGCATGGTGCACTGGCCTTAGTCACGAGGCCCATGGCCTCCAGAAAGGAGTACCTCTCTTTCACTGACCTGTGAAACATTCACCAGTGCATTTGCATGCTCTCTGGCCCAGGAGCATGGGACCTTGCGGCTCTCGCAGCCGCCTGGCCACGGCTGCTCTGGCTCCACATGCTGCCTCCAGGACAGAGCCTGAAGATGGACAGTAGTGGGGAACAAGCTGAGCTACCTGAACGACTGCTTAGCAGCTGCCTTGGGTTCCAAAGGATGGTACTTTCAAAAGGAGCAAGAGCTCTCACCAGTGTAGGTGAGTTGGTTGGGTGTCATCCTGCAAAGAAAAAGGTCGCCAATTTGATTCTTGGTCAAGGCACATGCCTGGGTGTGGGTTTGGTCCCTGGTTGGGGTGTATATGAGAAGCAACTAATCAATCAATGTGCCCTTTCTCCTTCCCTTCCCCTCACTCTAAAAATAAACAAGTCTTTTAAATAAATGAAAATAAAATAATAAAATAAAATAAAATGAAGCAGGAACTCTAGGCGCTTTTTTTTTTTTTTTTTGGTATGGCTGAGGACTGCTGTGTTTTGTCTGGGTTTTGTCAGATGAGGTTTGACATGGGGAGTCCCCTATTCTCCCAGATTGTTCAGCATTTGAATAAAAACTTCTTTCCTTTCTCATCAGCCTCTACCACTAGAGTTTGTCTTTTGTGGATGCAGGCAGCTAAACATTTTTGTTCAATAACAGATTTACTGCGCTGAGTACTTGGATTGAAATTCCCAGAATCCTGGGATGGGAAATAATCCACAGTCAGATCATTCTGGAACAGAAATGTCTCCAAAAAAGCAGAGCTCTGGCAGACTGAGCGCCACTGACACACTTGCCTGGTGCAGAAGTTTCTTTGACTACACGGAGTTTGTGAGAAAACAACACAAACAGAGCCCTTCCAAAATGGAGTTGGAGCTCCTATCCCAAAGGCACTATCTTGTATGTCTTGCTCCCTAACCTTTGGAATGTCTGCTTAGGCAAAATAACCTTTGGACTAGGCCAGACCAACACTGTCTTTCAAACAACTTTCAGTGTTTCAGTGAAGACAACAGGAAAGCAGACCTCCTGACCACAGTAACATAATTATGGACATTTTTAAAAATCAATACTATATATAGTTAAAGAATAACAGCTTATTATCACCAATAGAATTTCCTTTTTTAACTCATGTATTTTCCTTCCCTTTCTCACAAAAATTCCTCTGCCTTCACCTCATAACATTTAGAAACACTATTTGGGTTTCTGCCTGAACAGTGCTTCCCCGTATTGCAATTCTTTGATCTCAAGTCAACCTTTTTTCTTTTAATTTTTTTAATTTTATTTTATTTTTAGAGAGGGGAAGAGAGGGATAAAGAGGAGAAAAACATCAATGTGTGGTTCCCTCTTGCACGCCCTCTACAGGGGAAGCAGCCTGCAACCCAGGCATGGGCCCTGACTGGGACTTGAACTGGTGACTCTTTGCTTTGCAATCCAGCACTCAATCCACTGAGCCACACCAGCCAGGGCTAATCACAGGTAAAGTCTTGTTGCCTCTCACTTAGCTTTTTAACTAACAATTGTCTAGACTAATTCCTAGAATGTGCTGCATAGTAGTGCTTCCTGCTAGGTGACTCTTTGGTGTTTTGGGTAATCAGGACTTGTTAATATAAATTCTATGTTATCACCAGTCTGTTCAAATTGCCTATTGCAAGTAAACTTGACATTTATATACCTATGAAATATGGTTTGCTGGAGAACTTATCGTTACATGAATGACTAATCAAATTAAAATCTAAGCGTCCCCAGACCAGCTCATCTTAGCTGACATGCATCACACATGTTCTTGATGTTCATCTGTTACTTTGAAGCCAAACTGCTTCCCAGTGCATAATTAGTGCTTCCTTATTTTGGCCTCTCCAAAGAGGAATGTTACATCTGGGCCTAATTTGGACAAATATTGCTATCTAATGAAAGAGAGAAAGCACAGTATGAGTTCTTAATTACAACGGTTACTATCTCAGTGTTTATTACTTTGGTGAAATTGGTCAATGTTGCGAATTTTTTAATGAACTACAAAAATAAAAAACCAAGCCAACATTTTGTTTGCCAGAAAACCACTGTATACACGACAGTGAGTAACCTACATTATCAGTAGTCTACATAATCTACATATATTATCTATTAAGAAGGTGTTTGAACACACAGGGGTAGACAAAAACAGGTTTACTGTCTTTTGTATGTAAAATAATGCGATGAATAAATAAGAATAAACTTTGTGTTTTGTTTACTCAGAACTGTGAACCTACTTTTACCCACACCTGTATATGTGTACAGACTTAAATTAACTGGATAATTATTAAGCTTTAATCTACATTCTCACTAAACAGTATGCATGACCCCTTTCTGTCATTTTAGATCTATGCCATAATTTCTGGAGTTTCAAATTATAGGAACATAGAGAAATATATCCAAACTCCTATGTATTTCCGGTTTTTAAAAAATTATCTTATTGTACACATCCTTTCTCACTATTTTATCATAAGTTATTTTATGATTTCCAGATGGGTATGTATACATGACATTTTGACATATATTGTATGACTGACTCTTCTCTAACAAGCTCATACTTTTCACTTCCACCAACAAAATACATTGTTCTTGGAAACAGAAACCACCAAGTAAAAGGCAATCATATGTATCCTCATAATCAATATGTCTGATAAAAATGTTTTTAAAAATTCAATATTTTCCTTTTCTTTGTGTGAGTTGGAGTATGGGGGTGGTAAACTTGACAAAATTAATGTGCTCTAAACTCATTACAGATCCTGCCTAAAGAGGTTTGAGTTGGATAAAAGCTGTAATTCTTAGAAACCAGTCAGACCAAAGGGCTGTGATGGAAAGATGGAGACTAAAAAGCAAGTATTGCAATTTTGACATTTATTAAGAAAGTAGTTTTCATTAGTGACAATTTCTGACACTTTCCAAATATTACAGTAAAACTCTGCCTCAACACACAGGCAGGAGTAAAAATTCAATTATGTAAAATGCAGTGTTCCATTTTTGCAAAGTTAACCAAATACATTATCAGTTTGCACTGTCATTTAAAGTGCACACACACACACACAGCCACAGACACACACAACTAAATTTAAACGATAGTGTACAGAAAGAGACCAAATGGTAAGAAATGCAGCTCCTCCCAGCTTAAGGTGGCATACAGGACAGAGATCAATCCTAACAGGGTTACAACCAAATTCATATCATTTCAGACAGCAAATTTCCTTGATGTTCCGCATTTCAAATAGTATTTATCTACCTGAAGTGATTATATTAAGGTTACTTGCAGTCCTCCAAATACATGTTTTCTTAGGGGGTGAGTGAGCTTAATAAATTTCAATACACACTTTGTCAGTTAGCAAAAAGTACTGAGCACCTCCATTGAGTTAGGCAATGTGATGGCTTTATATACTTAGCAATGACTGAAGCTCCTTTCCTTAAGCTTTCATTCAAGTGGATAAGGATTTAGGCATGCTCATCATTGTACTTTTGTTAAATTCCAAACTATGCTCTTATCTTTTACAAGCCCTAGTGCAACTAGTTAAGTCATGTGCAATGACTGATAACTACATTTCTGACAAAATCCCTCATGGAACAGCTCGTTAGGTGGCTGTGTAGTCTCCTGACTACTGTGAATGCTGAAGTTGGGTTGAAACATCACATTTTCACTGAAAAATTTTTTTTCTACTATGAGAAATCTAGTAAATGGAAAAATTCAGCTCCTGTTTGAAGACATCAAAATAAAATTAAAAACCATTTTACAGCACTCCATTTCTGTATGAATTCTCTGATGGACAATCCTTGCTATACTCCTCACTCTTATAGAATTTATCACTATGGACTCTCTGATGAATTAGAAGACCTGAGCTCCAACGGAAACCCTTACCACATGCATCACATTTATATGGTTTCTCTCCTGTGTGGACTCTCTGATGAGCCTGAAGGTTTGATCTCTGACTGAAGCCCTTCCCACACAACTCACATTTATATGGTTTTTCCCCAGTGTGGACTCTGTGATGGGCCTGAAGACTTGAAAACCCACTGAAACCCTTGCCACATTGCTCACATTTATAGGGCCTCCCTTCTGCATGGACCCTCTGATGTGCTTGAAGGCGTGAACTCTCACTGAAGCGCTTTGTGCACACCTCACATTTGTATGGTTTCCCGCCTGTGTGGACCCTGCGATGTGCTTCAAGGCGTGACCTCTGACTAAAGCCCTTCCCACACATCTCACATTTATAGGGTTTCACTCTGGTGTGGACTCTCTGATGACCCTGCAGATATGCTTTCTGACTGAAGCCCTTCCCACATACCTCACATATGTATGGTCTCTCACCAGTGTGGACACTCTGATGGCTTTGAAGGTATGATCTCTGACTGAAGCTCTTACCACACTCATCGCATTGGTATGGCTTCTCTCCTGTGTGAACTCGCTGATGGGCCAAAAGAGTTGAGGCCTTACTGAAGCCCTTATCACATTCTCCACATTTATAGGGTTTCTCTCCTGTGTGAACCCTCTGATGAATTTGAAGATTAAAGCTCCAACTGAATCCCTTTCCACATTCCTCACATGTATAGGGTTTTTCTCCAGTGTGGACTCTCTGATGGCCTTGAAGGTGTGAACTCCTACTGAAGCCCTTCCCACACTCCTCACACTTGTATGGTTTCTCTCCAGTGTGAACTCTCTGATGGCCCTGAAGGTATGAATTGCGACTGAAGCCTCTCCCACATGCTTCACATTTGTATGGTTTTTCTCCAGTGTGGACTCTCTGATGGGCTTGAAGGTATGAACTCCGACTGAATCCCTTATCACACTCCTCACATTTATAAGGTTTCTCTCCTGTGTGGACTCTCTGATGGACATTAAAAACTGATCTATGACTGAAGCCTTTACCACAAGCATTGCATTTGTACGGCTTCTCTCCAGTGTGGACTATCTGATGATCTTTAAGTTCTGAACTCCAACTGAAGCCACTTCCACATTCCTTATAGGGTTTCTCGCCAATGTGAATTTTCTGATGGCCTTGAAAATAAGAGTTTTGGCTGAAGCTATTAACACATGAATGTTTATATGGTTGTTCCCTAGAGTGGACTATCTGATGGTTCTGAATATGTGAGAGCAGACTGAAGCCATTGCCATGTTCCTCAGAATTACAGGGAATCTCTTCCATGTGAACTCTCTGCTGAATGTTAAGATTTGAGCTACAAAAAAAACCTTTCTGACATCCCACATCTGTGTAAAGTTTGTCTTCAGTGTGGATTTTATGATGAACTTGCAGATGAGAACTCTGATTAAAGACATTCCCATTTGCCTTACATTTGTGGGGTTCCTCCTGAGTACTAACCCTAAAAATGCTACTGAGGTCTAAGGTATGACTGAAGGCTTTCTCATAACTATAGAATGTCTTTCCTGTGTGAACAACTTCATGCTTGTTATGAGATAAGCACTGACTCAAGTTCTCACCATAGTCACATTTACACGGCATCTCCTCTGTATGTTCTCTCTGTTGGGATTGCAGATGTGAACTCTCAAAAACACAATCATCTCCTCTATGAACATTTTGATGTTTATGAAGAGCTGAATGATGACTATAGTCCTTTCCACAAGGACTGTATGTACAGGGCTCCCCTTCTAACTGTTGATGTACCTCGGAGCTGAAGTCATCAATGATGGCCTTTCTGGACCCATTACACGGACAGGGTTTTTGCCCTGTTTGAATTATGTCTTGTTTATGCAAGGAAACATTCAGGATGTCTTTTCCACAATCATGGCAGCTGTAGTTTTTTTCTATTGTGTGTACTCTCAGATTATCATTGTGACGTGAGATCCAACTGACGTCACACTTAGAGAAATTATTTCTTATGGAGCTTTGTTGACATCTGCACTGATAATTACGTGACTCTAGCAAATACATTTTCCTCCAAGAATGCTGGGCTCTCCAAGATGAAAATTCTTGATTTTTTATGTAATCAGAACCATTCCCTATGTGAGTCAATATATAACTTCCATCTTCAGAAATCTGAATTGGTATTCCTGCTGAAGCCTGGCAGGGGGAATCCCCTTGTTTTTGCAACTTAGAAATATTTCCTTGAAAATTTTTTATGGAATCTTGACACCTGGTTAACCCGCCTGTACCTTGTTGCCAGGTCTGCAAAGAGGTCAGCTCTTTGGGAGAAAGGTAGCTTAATCCTACTTCTTGAATAGTCTCCATATTATGTTGGTTCTCAGTTCCTATAAGGACACAGAGAATTTAGATATGTACACAGTGAATGCTTTTATTCAGAGATTTCAAGATTTTCCACTTCGGTTATGACATGAACCTTCAACAAACTAGAGAAATATTCATGTCGCTACCTATAATGACACTTAGAAAATGGCTCTTCTTTGGCTACATCAGGAATATAAGTATCAATAGAGCTCATAAAATCGGGGCTATCTGCATGCTTCAAAATCAGGGCTTTGCAACACATACTGGACATTGAATGTGGCGGCCTTGTTCAAAGGCTTGGTAAAACCATACACGTCATGCGTTGCTTGGAGATGCCAAGGAGAAAACAGAAGGGGATAGTCTCAAATTAGAAAAAATATTGTTTCAAGTGGAGAAACACTTTTTATCCTGATAATAACTTTTTCTTTTTTCTTCTGGCACCTGGGCATGGTAATGTTTTAGTTTGTTTGTAAGATTGTGTGTTAAATTCTGTGCAGACAATGATAAACACAGACCTTTAATGGACATTTGAGGCACCGTATGGTTTACATCTAATGAGCTATTTATCTTCATTATAATTGTAAGTTCTAAGTCACTGTAAGCCTTATCAGCTTTAAGTACTTTCATAAGATATGTCACAATTACCAAGGGCCACGGTGCAGATCAGGATGTGAAACACTGAGACAGAATCCAATTCCAAAGACATCAGGAAAAAACAGACGCTGAGGGAGGTAAGCAGAGCCAAATTTCATGGCACCTATAGGTGTCCTTTGAGGCAATTATGAACATTGATGTTGGCTTGCGTCATCTTATTGGAAAGTTACTTTCACGTCCAGGGAATGTGAGTTACCAAAAGAGTGGAAGACAAGCATGTGTGGGTAGAAATGGCTTTTCACTTCATTATTAAAGCTCAGATTATAAGCAGACAGCAGAGCTTCATAATCCAGTGAGAATATCCTTCCTGAGAATGACTGGTTCAACAGGGTTAAAGTAATAACATGTGCTCTCCTAACACTTGGCAGCACATTAGTTTTCTACATCGCCCAGAAGAGAAAGCAGTAGGCGTTATTTTTTCCATAACATATTACCTTCAAACATTATCATTCTTCTCTATTTGTGTCTGTTTCTCCACACTGGAATGTATTATCCACAAGGACAAACACTTTGTTTTGTGCACGGTATTACCCTCACTGCCTACAACACTCCTACTGAATAGTAGCTGTGCAATAAACAGTTCATAGACTTAGTCATTCTCACTGGACTAAAAGGTCATGTATATGTAAGTTATTTTTCATGGGAAAAGAAACAGTGATGGCAATTTAGCAGCAAAGCTGTAAGGCCATATGTGAGGTAAGGCTACTCTCAGGGTATCCTATCACGTGCTGATGAGAAAAGCAAAGGTCACAGGAATCTCTTGTGGATTGGGTCTTTTTAATTTTTAAAATAACCTTGAGGTTGGTATATTTTTTGTCATTCATAATCTTACCTGTAGCTCCACCCTACTGTCAACTTAAAAAATGGAAAAGGCCACACTGATGACTGAGTGACATCACACTCTGACACTACCCTGCACTGACTGCAGGGTAACACGGCTAATCTGTAAGATCTCAGTACTTTTTTTAAAAGGTTTTATTTATTAATTTTTAGAGAGGGGAAGGGAGGGAGAAAGAGAGGGAGAGAAACATCAATGTGTGGCTGCCAATCACAAGCCCCCTACCAGGGGACCTGGCCCACAACCCAGGCATGTGCTCTGACTGGGAATCGGACCGGTGACCCTTTGAATCGCAGGCCAGCACTCAATACACTGAGCTACACCAGCCAGGGCAGATCTCAGTACGTTAAAAAATATTTAGTAATTTATCTGGCTTCTCAAAAGTGAATCTTCAATTATTACATTAATATTTTACCATGTAAAGGTTAAATGAGGCATGTTATAGGAGGCATACTGGATAAAGTAAACAGCTTATATTTAAGAAGTCTGGGCTTTAAGCTAGAATTAATCATAATGCTTATAGCTTTGTTTTGGTGCCATCAAAAACACTCAGTATTCATCTCTGAAGATACAATTTAGTAAGTTGTGTTTTTTGGAACTGATGAGGTGGCTTAAGGACCCGAAAGCAGCTTGCTAGTCAACTTACAAAGCGACTGTTTCAATACAAATTTATACAAAATTTATGACATAAGAATCTCTCAAATATATAAAAGAGATTAAAGTTTCTTTCTGACCAATGGTTTTAACATTAAAGGCATAGAGGGGGAAAAAAGTGATTTCAGTTAGTTTCAGCCTCTTGTGGGAAAGATCACATATTTAACAACATTAACTTTAATTTCCTTTAGTCAATACTGCATAAAGAAACACCTTGTCCTTTCCTTCCCATATCTCAACACTTAAGTTCTATTTTAATATCAGCAGTAGAGTACTGATGAGAAACTGTGTTAAATCAAATTTATAAAAAAATTTCATTTGATGAAAAAAATATGCACTGCAAAAAAGCACTGAAAAACCTTACCTGAAGTAAGAATTTACTTCATCTTCTTTGTAATCCATCCTTACAGTTTGAGAAAGTTAACCATTCCAGCATCTTACATTAACTCACTCAATAACAAAGTTGTTGTATTTATCATAAAAACTAAATCTTTAAATTTAATAGTTAACCATAATGAATTAAGAGAAAAATCTGTTTATATTTTCCTTTTCTCTTCTCCTTTAATAAAGAATACTCAAGAATATCAACTCAGAATATTGAATGTAAACTGTAATTGAAAAAAATGTTTTTAAATAAAATAAAAATAACAGAATTATCAACTCAGGCAACCCAGGCTGATATTACTCTGCTTTGTTAATATGCTTTAGATCGGTGATTTTCAACCTTTTCATCTCATGGCATACATAAACTAATTACTATAATTCTGCAGGCCGCCAAAAAATGTATTTTTGCTGATCTGACAAAAAACAGGTATAATTTTGATTCATTCAACTGGATGATGATTGTTGTGTTGGTTGTTGTCATTTTTGTATTTGACAATCTAAGGGAAAAAGAGGTCAGTGCCTGTGAGTAAATAGTCAGATATTTCATGTTTTAAAATTTCTTGTGGCACACCACTGAAAATTGCTTTTTTCGACAGTAGGAGAAGTTAAGGCATTTTCTGGACAGATGATACAGTAACAATGCTTTGATTACAAATATTTATGCTGCTGTGTGGGCTACTCTCTTAACCACAGCTGAGGCTTATCCTTCTTTAACAGAATATATTTGACCTTTATTGACTTTTTGTCTGTTTCTACTTTTTTTCCTAACTGAATGAATTCTAAATTTATGATTATTCATTTAGTTTATTTAACAGATATAGGCCTATTGGTATTGTCTACTTCTTGTGGAAGTTTGGGGAAACTTGTGTCTTTCAAGGAACTGGTCCATTTCACCTAGGTTATTAAATCCATGGTCACAGAACCACCAGTCAAGATGGCAGCTTAGGTGAACACAGTACTCAAAACCTCCCAGAATCACTTCAAAAATGCAACTAAACTACAGAGCAACCATCATTCAGAACTGCCGAAAATCTAGCTGAATGAAAGTCCTACAACTACGGGTTTAAAGAAGAAGCCACATCGAGACTGGTAGGAAGGGCAGAGATATAAAAGGGCTGGTCCCATACCCACGTGTCGAAGTTTAAAATCGGGAGGGGTATCTTAGCTGCAGGGGTACTCCCTGAGGAAAGAAGGGTCCCAAGGGCAGGAAGACAAGTCCCCTTAACCTCTGGCTCTAAAACCCAGCGGGGACTGAGACTGAGGGAGACAGGGGGCCTCTGGAATCTCAGGCAATTCCTCTTAAAAGGCCTGTGCATGGACTTACCTAGACTCACTGCCACTTAACTCCAGCCCTGGGGCAGAAGTTTAAAGGAACAGGGACATATGAGGAAGAACTGAGTTGTCTGGCATCAGGCGAGTGATGGCAGAGGCCATTGGTCTTTTTCTGAGACCTCCCCACCACGCACACACACAGAGCCAACAGGTGGGCACCGCATCTGAGTCTCCATCAACCTCGGTCACACCGTTTGCCCTGCCCTAGTGATTCCCTGAGACCCCACCCCACTTAACTTGGGGGCCTACCCAAGGCATTTCCAGGGGCTTTTCCATACTCCTAACCTCTCTTGCCTTATGCTTCAGACTTTCCTAAAATCTCTCAAAGAACCAGCATCTGGCCTCAGGATACCTCTTACATCTTGCTAGGCAGCCCCAGGCCGGACACTAGTGGCAGCGCATCTTGGTACAAAGCTTGACCTCTTTTGGGCACCTCCAAGCCCAACACAAGTAGCAGCCATCTGTGGCTTGTGCCAGGAGGCCCAAGGCAGGGCACAGGCAGTGGCTGACTTTGCACCTCCCAGGAGACCCCACAGCCAGTGCAGCCAGTGGATAGCTTCAGACAATGACAGATTACAAAGCACTACTGTCCCGATGAGTGACACACTCAAGGGGCGGGCTCAGTGAGCACCAAAGCCCCACAGAAGCAAGTCCTGCTCCGTAGGGTCAACTCCTGCACAGCAGCTCCTTCACTGTAGTCGCAGCTGGTCCGTGCAGTTGACTGGCCTCGGAGGGGTCAATCCTTCCCACTGATGCCAACAGCAACAGGACCGTGTAACAGAGCCCACGCAGGGGTGCACCTGGAGCACCCAGCTCAGGTGACTGGGGAGATTGAGCCACTGGGCCCTACAAGACATCTACTCCATAAGGCCACTCTACCAAGCCCAGGAGATGTGGCAGCTCTATCTAATAAATACAAGCAAAATAGAGAAGCAGCCAAAATGCAGAGACAAGGAAGCAAGTCCCAAATAAAAGAAGAGGAGAAATCTCCAAAAAAAGAACTAAATGAAATGGACCAAGCAAACTACCAGATACAGAGTTCAAAATAATGGTTATAAGGGTGCTTAAGAAACTTCATGAGAACTTCAAGAGTATGAAAAAGGACATAGAAACCACACAAAAGAACCAGTTAGAAATGAAGGATACACTAACTAAAATGAAGAATAATTTACAGGGAATCAACAGCAGAGCAGATAACACTAAAAATCAAAATGGCAATTTGGAATATAAGAAAGCAAAAACCACCCAAACAAAATAGCAAAAAGAAAAAAGAGCCAAAAATATGAAGATAATGTAAAGAGCCTATGGGACAACTAAAAGCATACCAACATTTGCATCATGGGGGTGGTGGAAGAAGTGAGAGAACAAGAAACTGAAAAGCTATTCGAAAAAATAATGACAGAAAACTTCTCTTACCTGGTGAAGGAAACAGACACACAATTACAGGAAGTGTAACCAAAACAAGATGAACCCAAAAAGGTCAACGTCAAATCACATCATAATTAAAATGACAAAGGTTAAAGACAAAGAAACAAGCTTAAAAGCAGCAAGAGAAAAGCAGTTTGTTACCTATAAAAGAGCCCCCATAAGAATGATTTCTTAGCCCTGGGACTGAGTGCTGGCTTGTGAACCAAAGGGTTGCTGGTTTGATTCCCAGTCAGGGCACAGGCCTGGGTTGCAGGCCAGGTTCTCAGTTGGGGGCGCTCAAGAGGCAACCATATATTGATGTTTCTCTCCCTCTCTTTCTCTCTTCCCTCCCCTCTCTCTAAAAATAAATTTTTTTTAAAAAAAAAGACTGATTTCTTTAAAAAAACCTTTGCAGGTCAGAAGAGAGTGGCAAAGCGATGAAAAGTGGGGACCTACAGTCAAGGTTACTCTACCCAGCAAAGCTATCATTTAGAATTGAAGGATGGATAAAGGGCTTCCCAGACAAGAAAAAGCTAAAGGAGTTCATCACCACCAAAGCAGTATTACATGAAATGTTACAGGGTCTTCTTTAAGAAGAAAAAAAAGATAAGTGTGTACAACAATATGACAGTATCAACAACTGAATCTAAAAATCAAAATAAATGAACAAGAACAAAAAACAGACTCATACAGAGAATATTTTGACAATTGCTAAATGGGAGGGAGGTTGGGGAGATGGATGAGAAAGGTGAAGGAATTTAAAGTACAAAATGGTAGTTACAAAATAGTCATGGGGATGTAAAATACAGCATAGGGAATGTAGCCAATAATATTCTAATAACTACATATGGTGTCAGATGGGTATGAGGTTTATCAGGATGATCATTTAATGAGATATAGAATGTCTAATCATGGGTGTGTACACCTGAAAATAATACTGTATATCAACTGTAATTACAAATTAAAAATATTTGTGACCACAGAGTTTGTTCATAGTATTCCTTTATTATCCTTTTAAAGCCCATAGGTTCTAATGTAATGCTCCCTCTTTCATTTCTGATATTTGTAATTTGTATCCTCTTTTTTCTTAGTTAGCGTGGCTAAACTTTTCTATCAATTTTATTCATTTTTTCCAAGAACCAGTTTTTAGTTTTATTGATTCTCTATTTTCGCTTTCATTGATTTCTGCTCCAATTCTTATCCTTTTCATCTCCTTACTCTGGATTTAATTTGCTCTTCTTTTTCTAGTTTCCTATGGTGGGTGCTTAGATGGCTGATTTTAGTTCTTTTTTCTTTTCTATGCATTTAATGCTATGAATTTCTTCTAAGCACTGTTTTCATGGCATCCCACAAATTTTGATAAGTAAACAACTTATCAAAATAAGTAAACATCATTTTCATTTCACCCAAAATATTTTTTAATTTCTTGGGAAGTCTTCTTTGACCCATGTGTTATTTAGAAATGTGTTGTTTAATCTCCATGTATTTTGGGGTTTTCCAGTAATTTAATTTACTGATTTTTCGTTTAATCCCATTGCGGTCTTGGAGTTGACATTTATGACTTTATTCTTTTAAATTTGCTAAGGTGTGACTTAGGGCCCACATTTCGTGTGAACTTGGGAAGAAGAGTTTTCTTTTTCGAATTATCTACATTAACAATGGCTCCAATATCCAACTCCATGCCACAGAGCTATCATTTTAGGATTACTTTTAACTCAGTCCACAGGGAAAAATGTATAATGTTATAAAAACAAAAACAAGGTTATGTGGGGTGGGGGCAGAGAAACTCAGCTGTGTCTCTTTTTCACTGTAGAAAGTGACATTCAACTTGGGACAGAAAAGAAGGTCAGAGTAGAAGAAACATTACAAAGGATGTTTGGACTCATACAAATGTCCAACTTGAAAATTCTACTTCAAAATTATAGTTAGGTTAAGCGACTATATAGGTGTTAGAGGACGGGAGGAGGAAAGGAGAGGACAGAATGGGAAGATAAAGAGCTAGGCATATGAATAAGGAACTTAATTGCCAAGGCAAAAATGTCTCACCTGAAAATGCTGCGTGGGAAGGGTCAATCATAATGTTGGCATTGCCCATGTTTGGGACTTACTCTAGTTGACTGGTGATTCTTAATCTTTTAGGAATAATGGCTACCCACCTAAGAATAATCAAGGACACCTCAACAGTTAGAATTAGGACACGCATTCATCAGATGACAAACATTCTGGAGTCTCGTTCGATGAAACTGATTTGTTCTATACCTACTCGCCATCTCAGGGAGCATTTGTGACAGAGAAGACCATGTGCCTATTAACCAATCCATGCATTCAACTAGGCAGAGAGAAAAATCAAGCCAAGGAACCTGAAGCGGAAGCATAACTGACAAGTCTGATGGGCAGCAGTGAGGCGGTGCGGCCGGAACACAATGAATGAGCAGACAATAGTAGGAAAATATAGAAAGCCAGAGGGGGCCGAGGGGAGAGATGCCTTCAGGCCTAATAGTCACTAAGTACTTTAGATTTCACCATGTGTGAAATGAAAAGCCATTACAGTTGAACAGAAGTGATATGTTCTGACTCATGATTTAGAAGGGTCTCTTTGCTTGCTGGGTTACCGCGGGACAGTTCTCACCTGAACACCCATCTCTCCGAGTTTCTGTCTCCATCATCAAACACTTTTCCTCTTTCTCCAGCTGGAATATAAGGTCTGGTTTGAAGGGCTGATTCCCTGCAAAAAGGCAAGGAGAGAGAAATTTTTTAATTCTGAAGTCCAACTTCTCTTTTTCTTTTCTGAATCATGCTTTTGGTGTCCTGAGGATGCTTGAAAGATTTGCCCTATGTTTCCTTATAGAAGTTTCATAATTTTAGATTTACGTTAGATCTCTTATCTACTTTGAGATAATTTTTTGTGAGGCATAAGGCATACATATAGACCCATTTAGGTGTCCAAAGTTTCTACTCTGCCTGTTGAAAAGACTGCCTCTCCACTGAATTGTCCTGGCACCTGTAACACATCTAAAAGTTTCAGAATGGCTTCTTCCATGTATCACTATAAAAACAAACCCACTGAAAAAGTGTTGAGATTGCAATTCATTCTTTCCTCCCCCTCCCACTATTCCTAAAACTAAGGGTAAAGAGATACATACTGTGTTCCTTAGTTATCCTCCATGAGTCCTTTCTCTTCAATGTGGTTATGGTATCAATTTCAGGTACAGCTGAGTTCATTTGTTTAATTTTACTTTTTTTTTTAAGAGAGAGAAGGGAGGGTGAAAGGGAGAGAAACATCAATGTGTGAGATTCATTAATTGGTCGCCTCTCATATGCCCTCAGCTGGGGACCTGGCCTGCAACCCACATATCTGCCCTGACTGGGGATCAAACCGGCGACCTTTCAGTTCACGGGTCAGTGCTCAATCCACTGAGCTACACCAGCCAGGGCTATTTCATTTTACTTTCAGTTTTAGGTTATCGTTCCTTTGCACTCTAATTTAATTTTTATAATGTGCTGAACCAACACATTTTGAGAAGTCCAAACGAGATGGAAAGGTATATTCAAACAGGCGTCACTCCCTCCCACGTTCCTTCCACGCTGTTACTTCCACCCCTCATAAAAACTAACTCCGTGATTTTCTGATTAATCCTTTTGTTTCTTCTAGTTAAAGATAAGCGGAGATTCATATATTTACCTACTTCCTCTTCTTTCTTTCAGAAATCATAGTGTGCAATGCATGCTCTTTTGTACTTTGCTATCTCTAGGAAAAATTCTTAGAGGTGAATTGCTAGGAAAGGGTTAATACATCGTTTTGTTAGATATTGTCAAATTCCCCTCTTTGAGGGTTGCATCATTTAGCATTCCCACTTTCAATGTGTTAAAGTATTTTATTTCCTATGGCTTTGTCCAAAAAAAGTTAACATTTTCCCAATCCCATGGGTCAGAAATGGTATTTCAGCATACTTTCAATTAACCATCTCTTACTTTGAATAAAACTGAACATCTATTCATATGTAATATCCACATTTGTGTATGTGTATGACCGTGTGTGCGTACACGTACACACACACCCCTCCTAGCTCTATTCCCTGAGACCAAGAAACAAAACAACACACCGGCAATGACAATACTTAACATCCAGACCTTGAAGTTAAATACCATTCTCTAGTAGGAGAAATGGACGATTGCAGAGCTGGGGCGAAGTATTGGGTTGGCCAGAAACCTTGTTGGGTATTTTCTAGTGGCTCTAGCAGTGCTTAGTTGTCTTTAAGTCATTTGAAACAATTTTGTTAGATTGTTACAACGGATAGTGCATTTAAAAAACAGCTTATCAAAAGTGGTGAAGCTTTGTGTAGCCATTTTAATACTGAAGATGGAAGAAAATATGCAACATTTTTGGTATATTACGCTTTATTCTTTCAAGAAAGGTAAAAACGCAAAAAAAGATTTGTGCAGTGTATGGAGAAGGTGCTGTGACTGATCAAATGTGTCAAAAGTGGTTTGTGAAGTTTCATGCTGGAGATTTCTCACTGGATGATTCTCTAAGGTTGGGTAGACCAGCTGAAGTTGATAGTGATCAAATCGGGACATTAACCGAGAAAATTGACATTATACTGCACGTGAAATAGCAGATATACTCAAAATATCCAAATCAATAAAGTTATTGGTGAAAATGAAAAATGTGTCTTTTATTTTATGGAAAAATAATAAATGGACTTTTTGGCCTACCCAATAAAAGATGAGCATAAAATAAGGAAGTGCTAAAAAAAAATGTTGGGGCATATTACAAGGGCACAAGAGTCAGCTTAAAAAGGCTAGGTTTGGGACAATTTTAGCAGCAAATTACAGCAATAAATCATAAGCCATATTTTAAAAATTTCACAAACCCTTAGAAATAACAAATAAATGGGACAGGGTTTGCATATTGTAGAATGTCAAGTGCTGACTTCTAAACGTGAGGGAAGTACTAAGACAGAAAGTCATCATTTGTAACCATCACGGCAAAGATTGGATAAGGCAAGAATCATCACTGGATGCTAAATATTTGTGTGGTCTTAAAGAGTGTTTCATTATGCTCTGACTAGTGTGGCTCAGTGGGCTGGGCATTGTCCCACAAGCCAAAAGGATGCTGGTTAAATTCCTGGTCAGGGCACATGCCTGGGTTCCAGGGCAGATCCCCAGGTGGGGGCGTATGGGAAGCAACTGACCAGTGTTTTTTGCACATGCATGTTTCTCTCTTTCTCTCTCCCTTCCCTAAGAAAAAAATAAATGGAAAAATAATTTTTTTTTAAAAGTCTGCCTTGATTGCAAAGAGGAAAAACAGCAGTAATTTTATGGTGGAGAAATTGGACATCTTGACTGGGTGATCAAATTAGCATCACCCACGAGGGACAGACGGTGCACCTCTAGATGCAATGCCCTCAAATGGACACAGCGCTACCAGTGCAGAGTTCCAGCCAGAAAGGATCAGCTGGATCTAATTATGAGGAAATATTAGGAATGCTCTATTAAAATTGGGGGATGGGGTAACAATATCCTTCAAAAATGTCATCGTCATAGAAGATAAAGAAATGCTGCGGAAATGTTCCTAATTAAAGGAGGTTAAAGAGACACGGCAGTGAGACTAGATACTAGACTACATCTTGCTCTGGAGAAATATATGCCAGAAGGAATAGAATTGGCTCTGTTGATAAAATTAAAGTGTAAATGATAGAGTGAACAAAAGCATTACTTCTGCACTGGGGAAATGTAAGAAAATATTCTTCCTTCTACAAAATACACCATTCAGTAAAGAATGAACCTTGCCCCATCAGAGGTTTGGTCTCTGCCCTCAGCTCTCTGGAGGTGACGTCTAAGCCCTTGGAATGTCCTACGTGGTAAGAGACTCTTTTTTTACTCAAAGTCTTCGGCCATACCAGATGGCTTAACAATGTGGTTTACGGGGTGGGGGGGCTTTAGGCCACGTGCTATAAGCTTGCTTTCTGGTGGGACTGGAAACTAAGGACAGTCACAGAGGTGTCTAACCACATCTGCACGACCAAGCCCCACTAAAAGCTCTAGACACCAGAGCTCAGATGCAGTGCGCCATGTGTACTGTCACCCCGCGTTGCTGGGAAGTTAGTGCTGCCTGCGATTCCGCTGGAAGATGACAAGTGGAAGCTTGTGCGGAGACCCGCCTGGACACTGCCACAGGTGTCTCTTTCATTGGCTGGTTTTAACTCATTTCCTTTCCATGTAATAAACTGTAACCATAAGTACAACGGCTTTCAGTGAGCCCTGGCTGGTGTAGCTCAGTGGACTGAGCACGGGCCTGTGAACCAAAAGGTTGCCAGTTTGATTCTCAGTCAGGGCACATTCCTGGGTTGCAGGCCAGATCTCCAATAGGGGGTGCTCAAGAGGCAACCACACACTGATGTTTCTCTCCGTCCCTTCCTCTCTCTCTAAAAATGAAAACTGGGACAACTGTAACAGAACAACCACAGCAACAATAAATAAATAAATAAATAAATAAAAACAGCTTTCACTGAGTTCTGAGTCTTTCTAGCTAATTATCAAGCCTCAGGATAGTCTTGGGGACCCCTGAACTTGCAATTGGTGTCTGAGGGAGTTTAGTCTTGGGGACTCCCAAACTGCATATATGCTGAAGTATCTCGAGAAAAAAGAAGGTGATGTAAGTACTTACCTTCAAATGGTTCAGAAAAAAAAATATTATGAATATACACACATTTTCTCATATATATACATAAATTATATGGAGAGAGAATATGAGTGTAAATGATAAAGGGATAAAATGTAATTATAGGTGAATCTGGGTAAAAGCTACATGGGTGTTCTTGTTCTATATTTTTACTTTTGTAAATATTCTAAGTTTAAAGTTATTTACAAACATATTGCTAAAGCAAAAAACAAACAAACAAAAAACACCCTGAAAATTCAAGTTAATAAACAGTTACTGACACACTGAGAAAAAAAAGATGGAACAACTAACTAAATTAATTTCATGACAAATCAATGGGGGCAGGACCACAATATGTTCCTTTGTAGTTCAAAGGACAGATTTGTACATGAACAGTGACATCAAAAATATCTTGTCTTTGCTCTGGCCGGTGTGGCTCAGTTGGTTGGGCATCACCTTGCAAAGCGCAGTGCTGCCAGTCAGGGCACATGCCTGGGTTTTGAGATCGGTCCCCCACTGGGGTGCAAACAAGAGGCAACCCATTGATGTTTCTTTCTTACATGGACGTTCCCTTCTCTCTCTTTCTCCCTCCCTTCCCCCCCCCCTACAAATAAATAAAATCTTAAACAAAAAAAATCTTGTCTTTGTTGCACAGGGATTACTAGAACTCTTAGATGCTCAAGCTCAGGGAATGATTTCAGGGGTCGTGGAGCTTCCAACAGCTGAGCACACAAAGACTCCCAAGAGGCTGACGCTGAGTTACAGAGGGCGCCTGTGCTCACCCAGTGACACCAGGTTCCAGAAGTTCTCCAGCATCACGTCCCGGTACAGCTTCCTTTGGGACGGGTCCAGCAGCCCCAGCTCTTCCTCAGTGAAGACCACAGCCACATCCTTGAACATCACTGGCTCCTATGCCACCAAACACAGAGTATGTTTATGGAAAAGGGGCAGCTGTAAGAAAGTGTAAAGGATGTTGTTCTGGCTTCTGAGGCACCCGAGTCGCATTTAAGGAGCTGCCTTCTGTCTGCCTTCCACAATGCTAATTCCATCCACCAAAAAGGCTGCAAGAAAAGATACCCTTGTACTTTAAATTGCTACCTTTCGTTAGCACACCTGTAGGTAAGGCTCTGGAATTCTGCTGCATCATGGGCTGCTAATTACTTAAATTTTCTTAATAATGTCATTTGCTCCAGAAAAGATGCAGTTCTGACCACGTGTGATGAATCTCTTCTCCCTTTTACACACACACTCCACTTATTTGCCGAACTTAGAGGCTATCGGTCACCCTGACTGCTCACGCGCGGAGACCCTCCGCGGCCCGGCTACAGTGAGCAGCGTTACGGTGTCGTGGCGCAGGCCCAGTCCCGGAGTGTGACCTACCCCATGCCAGCTGTGTGACCCTGGACAAGCTCCTCATCCGCTCCTCATCTCTATGCTGATACATATACCGTAGGGTCCTGGTAATAAAATGAGTACCTATAGGTAAAGCACTTAGGAACAGCGCTTGGCACACCGTAAATACCCAGTAAATGTTACCATTGTTGTGATTATCATCATCATCATCTGTCATCCCATTTCAGGGCTGCGTGGTAATTCAAGGAGTTAACTGACCATACCCTGACCTAATGTAATAGTGCACGCTTACTTCGTTTTAGATTCTCTCTTATAAATAATGTTGAAAAGAAAATTCTTTCACAGAGAACTTAGTCCCTGAAAATCTGTTAATCATCTCCTTAAAATAAACCCCCAAAAAGTAGAAATAGTAACTTTGGAGAATAATAACCTTTAAAGTTTTGAAATCATAATGGCAGGTATTTCCTTCAAAAAGGCTTTTCCAACTTCTTCTTCCAGGAAGGTGTAAATTCCTAAACCTCTGTGCCCTGGCCAACACTGGACACAAATACTTTAAGAAAACCAAACCAAACCAAAAACAAACCCAAAAAACACTGACAGTGTCAGAAGTAAGTTTGGGAAGTAAAAAAGTTCCTTCAAATATTTTTCACAAAATTAATTAATAATGAAGATCATTCTCTTTCATTTACTTGCTAGTCACGATCATGTAATAACGTTAATTTGCTGTTAATATTTTTCATTCTACTTTGCTATTGTCTTGTAATTTTTGCTGTAGGGAAAGTTAAATTTTTGGATAAAGACCTGTTTAACACTGCATTTCTGGCTGGAGCTCCGAACATCAAAGTATGGTCTTTGAATGAGAATTCTGGATGGTTTTAGAATTTTCTGCCTCTCTTTACACCTGATCAGTATGCCCAATACTCTTGATCAGGATGGTAAATACTCTGGGAGTTGACCAGATACCTGACTTCTGTAAGAAGCTGAGCAGGACTTGAGTTTACACGAATCTCTATGTTCATGTTAACAGCGGAGATGATGCTAAGTGCCTCTCAGAGATGTGAATAATGTAATAAATGGAAAATGTCCACATCCTATAGTATGATTAAAGTTTTTAAATTAAGTACCTGCACTACTCTAATAAAATAATCTATGGATGGTGACACATACAAGGCACACAAATCAACACACACACAGAAAGCTTCAGGTCCGGGAAAGAGAGAATCTAGTCCTTTTGTGTGAAAATATCTAACACTAATTTTTTCTGAATCCAGCTTCATTCAGTATGATCCTGTGAGACAAAACCATTTTTAGGTGTATGTTTTACAAAGTATGTCAGGCACAAAAAACGCTTTGTTTTAGTTTTGGGTCCCTGGAACAGAAGGGCAAATTATATTAGAATTCTCTCAGAACTGCTTTTTTAGTAAAGCTCGAATGTAGGAAAACTGATGCTGCTGTGCAAAACTGCAAGAACCTCGAGAAGTGACAAGTTTGTGAATGGGGAAGAGCCGAAAAGTGGGGCGTACACCGGCCACTGAAAGAATCTTAGATGAAACAATTAAGGGCTATAATTTTAACTGAAAATAAAAGCCAATTCAAAATTGTGTCTATTATTGCAAGTACAGTTATGAATGCACATAAAAAATGGCCACAGGAAAAAACTGGTGATTTGTAAGACGAGTAGTGTGTGGGTTTTTCATTTTTTAAATTGCTGTCTCTTAATAAAGTGATAAAAAAATACTAAAAGTAAATTTTTTTTAAAAGATGAAACACAAAGCATGTCATGTAAACCGTATTAAATGTCTGTCATTTTTTTATACTTGTCAAGGAAGAGAAAAAAGGTATCCACTTGCTGAGAAGTGAAATAACATGTTAAGTGACAGGAATAAAAATCCAACTCACCTGGAACTTGGTCATTTTCTCTTTCTTTTCTTAGGGAAAGGAAGAGACCTGAGAAAGCAGAAGGCAGACGATAAGAAAGAAGCCACGAGAAGAAGGGAAGAAGATCTCTGTGCAAATTGGAAAAGGGTGTCCCTCCCCGCAGGCAGACGCTGCCACACATGCCTCGGCAGGCAGAGTGGGCTGGACTCCAGCTGCCACCAGGCTCTCCTGGAGTGAGGGAGCCTCCACGGCTGGGCCCGGCAGTCCTCACTCACCCTATAGCTCCTGAGATGCTGATACTGGGAAATGTGGGAAAGGAGAGGGGGTGGAAGGTACTGGTTCAAGTGGACTCTGGCCCTGACAGGGGTGGCTCAGTGGGCCGGGTGTCATCCCGCAAAGCAAAAAGGTCCCTGGTTGATTCCCAGCAAAGCACATGTCTGGGTGGTAGGTTCCATGAAGACAACTGCTTGATGTTTCTCTCTCACATTGATGTTTCTCTCCCTCCTCTACCCTCTCTCTAAAAATAAATAAATAAACTCTTTTAAAAAAAGCAGACCCTGGTGACAATTCCTTTTGAAACCTGACATTGCTATATATTGGCACTGCTCTCCATGTTTACATACATGGTTGTATTGATAAACCTCCCTATGCTTCACTTCTGTGATCTACATTAGGCCAATAGCACCAACATTACAGGACTGTTGTGGAAGAATATGCATGAGTAGTGGAAAACTGCTGTAACACGTACCAACGTTTTCTATTATCTTGTAGCTGCAAAGAAGCAGATACTGTTGTACATCAAAAAATGTCCTTGCAGTTGTGTCTTTAAGACATCGAGGTGGCAGGGGTTACAGCTTCTTACTTAATAATTGGTGGCCTGGGTAATAACATACGTTCAGATTGAGACCACCTTCTGAAAGGTTTAAGCTGGGGACTATCCCTGCTGAAGCCGGAGGAGGCTCAGACAGCACATCCTCTTCCCGCACCGATATAGTGAAAGAGGCTCCCACAGTTCTCTCATCCGTGAAAAGTGCTGGCTCAGTGCTCGACTCTTGGGAGGATTTGGAGACTGGAAGTTTAATTTCTTTGGGTTCTTCCTCCAGATTATTCACTGTTCCCAACAGATATTTATTGTTATTTACCTTACATACTGTTCCCAGGCAACTGCAAGGTCATCTGTGAAAGAGAAAGAACTAAAACAAGGGCTAGTCCCGGGCTATGAATAAGGCAGAGCCTTTTAGCACCGCTGAGGTTTTCTGACCCTCTAGTAGAACACCCACCCCTCCCAGGTCCCTGCCCACAAGGCTACTGCTGGAGAATCCACAGAATGATGTGTCACTACCAAGAACAAGGATTAACTTGGCCTCATAATTAACCAGAGTTGAGTTTTCTTTCACTCACCCAATATTTACGGGTCACCTTCTAAAAGGGATACAATTCCCAGATCCGTGTTTGCTCAGAGCCTCATGTGGGAGACCAACTAGATAATCAGCAATTATACCACACCGATAGATGCCAGGGTGGAGTTCAAGCTGGGTCCTCGGGAGAACATAGAAGGGGCCCCCAAACCCAGAGTGGGTAAGGGAGGGAGCTGGATGAGCTCAGTGGAGAAAATGTGGCTCAGCCTTAGCCCTGGAGGATGACAGAGCTGTACTAGCCAGGAAGAGCAACCTTGCACTTTGTGCTGACAGAAACATATGACATGGTCCCATGGTCACAACAGAACTTTCAGTGTATAAAAAGACAGACCTAAGAAACAAAGAGCCCCAAGACTCAGGTAAGTCAAACTGTGTTGTGAGAAAACAAATTTCATCACCATCCCTCTTCAGAGTGGAACAACGTTCTTGTGTCCCTTAGCTTTCTCAAGTACATACCATTCTCCAAGATGCAAAGACTGATCACATTAGAGTAGCTGCTAAAGTCTCCCTTTCTTGGTCTTGGATATAAACAACGCCTGATCATCCATTTTTGGCAGTTATGACAATAAATCAATCACTATCATACTGACTCAATGCTGGGGATTTGCTTTAAAATACTGAAACATGAAAATTTGGAGGGGAGGCATTGCTACAAGATAGGCAAATGTTAACAAGGGTTGAATTTGGGTAATGATTACATAGGGGTTCATTATTTTATTTATTACATTTGGCTATGATTATAAATTTCCATAGAAAAAAAATTAAGGGGAAAATAAAACCTATGATAACTATTTTGTAAAAACTTAAGGAAAAATCAAAAAATAAACCTATGGAATAGGAAAACATTAAAATATTACTATTATCTCTGTATCTTGTGGTCATGGGCAATTAAATTTTTTTCCTTATATTCATGTATTTTCTTAATTCTTTACAATATGCAATCAATTCTTTAATCAGAATTTGAACTATAAATATTTCAAATAAAGTGCAATTAAATTGCAAGTGTCTAAAAAAATCTTATCAAAAACTCAAAGCTCACAAACATAGCTTTCATGGTCCTCTATAAAAGTCCAAAACATGCCTCTAAGACAACAGATTGAAACTGTCTAAATTAAAATCACAGCTCAATGTCTTACTAGCTATGTAATTTAGGATAAACAACTTAAGCTCTGTGTATCAGTTCCTCATCTTTAACATGAGAATAACAGCACCCCTGACCTCCATGGGCTCTGGTGAGGATTAAATGTTAATTCATAAAAAACTTCTAGAATAATATTTAGCACTCAATGATTAAGCACTATCGTTATTATTCATGCCCAAGTACTCGCCATCCCTTCCCGCATTATTCAACAAATAGCATGGCATCTTCGAAGCAGAAGAATCTGCCAATGGGTGAAGGAAATATCTCCTCCCCAAAGAGATAAAAGAGGAAGAAATGTGCTTAATCCCACTCAGGTAAGGCTCCGACGCCAGGAGCGAAAGGGTCACTCCCACCCCCACGCAGTCTTTTTCGAGGAGTCAAAGCTGCAAAGGAGAGGAGGCTTTGAGAAGTTAGATCTTCATGAGAACTCCCGCATACACTACAGTGGACATCCCAGACAACAGCCAGGCGTGACCCTCTCCCAAATTAAAGTGAAAAGTAGTATTAGAAATCCACGTACTGCCCCGCTTCCTTCAGCGATGAGCCAAGGACCAGGGAGCCAGTCTGACCCCATCCCGGGTGCACAGAAGCTTTCAGGGAACTGAGTGTTTCTCCAGAAACTACAAAGTGCTAGCAACAAGAGACGTATTTGTTCCACATGCCAGGCTCGAAGCCTTTTATTTCTATATTCTCATTTAACTCTCAAAATATCTCTATTAGGTAGACACTAACACCAGTTTAAATAAGAAGAAACAGGCAGAGACATTAAGATGCTCTCCAAATGTTATACTGTTAGGAAGCGGCATTGCTGGCCTGTGGTCGGGAAAAGGATTGTGCAAGTACAGAATCCTGGAGACCCTGAATCCCAGCGCTGTATGACCGTGGCGGGGCCCTAAGCTGGAGATGCACCCACCGCCCCACAGTCCCGCAGGCTCATTCAAAGGGAGCCCAAGCGCCCCTCGCCGCAGGAGGACTCTTTTCCTCAAGGTCCACGGCTGCTCACTACCGGCCCACAGCAAGGCGAAGAAAGGTCAGTGTGGGCACGGGGAGCGGGACACCGCGAGTAACGGGCTCACCTTTCCGAGAGGAATGAAGGCCGCGGCCTCGACTAACTGGGACGGAAGTGACTCTGTCTACAGAGACCCCCTAGACTACGCTTCCCAGAATTCCTGACGGGAGCAGGGACACAGCCTCAGTCTCCTGGAGCGGAAGTTATCCAACTACAGTGTTCCCGAACTACACTTCCCAGAATTCCCGGGCACTCTCAGCGCTTTCCTAGGGCGGAAGTGCCGGCTGCTACTCCGAGAGTCTGGATTGTATTTCACAGCGAGGGGATCCGGAACAAATTCCGTAACCCCGCCTTTCTGGAGCCGAAATGCTTCAAACGTGGAGTTCTATTGTATACTTACTTGTGTATTTTCTCCAAGCAATCGTGCTTTAAAGGCGGCTTTTGGGGAATGTAATTGTCTCACCGTGTGGCTCTTCTGGACTACCCTTACTGAATCTCCTGCGGGGCAGCCCTTTCCTCAAGGCTGCCCTTTTTCTTTTGGATGGTCTGTATTTGGATAGTCGTCATTCTCTTTAGGAGAGTCAGTCTGAATTCCATACTGTTGAACGAGCTTGGCCACCCTCTTTTCTCTAATTTTTTTTTTTTCTTCCTTCAAACATGGCCGGGGAGCAGAGGGTGGTGTGGGTAGGAAGGTTAGATGCAACAAAATGAGCAAATATTGATGAGTGTTAAAGCTTGGTGATGATTCTGTGAGGAAACGTTATCCCATTCTTAGAGCATTTGGCCACACCGGAAGTTCACAAAGTAAAAAGCAAAGAAGGAAAAAATAAAAGACCTATGACAACTCTTTTGTAAAATGTCGGTAAACAAACATAAAAATATGAAAAAAATACATTAAAATGTTAACAGTTGTTACCTGTACATCCTGGGAATATGAATTCAACATTTTCTTCAAGTTTCATATAGTCTCTTAATTATCTACAATACACAACCATTATTTCAATAATCAAAATATCAACTATTAGTTGAAATAAAATGCAACTAAATAATGGAAGATGCCTTAAGAAGCATATCAACAGCACAAAACTCACTAACATAGCTTTCATAGTCCTTTACCAATTATCACTTCCAAACCTGACAACAAGCATTAAAAAATGAGACTACAGTCCTGGCCACGGTGGCTCAGTTGGTTGGAGGGTTGTCCTGTGCCTGGAAAGGTTGAAGGTTGGATTCCCAGGGAGGGCACATACCCAGACTGCAGGTTGAATCCAGGGTCTGGGAGTGTGCAGGAGGCAGTGGATCCATGTTTCTGTCTCGTGTTTCTCATATCAATGTTTTTTCTCTCTCTCTCCCCCATCCCCTTTCTACTCTCTCTAAAAGCAATGAAATGGGGGAAAAAAATGTCCTTGGGTGAGAATAAAAAAAACTTTTTTTAAGAAAAGTGAGGCTAGGGACTGAGAATACTTTGGTTCAATCCTCAGCTCAGACTCAGTAATTGGATGACTTCTGGTAAGTGGCTTTCGCTGTGTCTCAATCTCCTGCTCTTTAAATAAGAAAATAACCCACCTCGATAAGCTGTTGTGAGGATTAAATGATTATTTATATAAAGTTCTTAAAATAGTACTACTTAGCACTAAATATTAACTATCACCATTACTATGCCCAAGTACTTCTCCCATCCACTCCCACATTTATTCAACAAACATTTGAACATGTAGCAGAACGTGCTCATTATAATTATTAATTGTAATAATTACAGATGAGAGATGACATAGGAGAGATGGTAAGTCTGACTCAGGTGAGGTTCTGGTGCTGGCAGCCAGACTCATTCCCTCCACATTCCTGCGGCCCTCTTCCAGAAGTCAGGGCTGGGGAAGCGAAGGAAGCTGAGAGAAATCCGAACTGTGGCTCCTTTCTGCATGAATCACAGAGGACATCCTCATATGCTAGCCTTGAGTGACACACACTTCCTGTCCCCACTTCCTAAAAGGAAAGAGAGAGAAGGGAAGGGAGAGCAGGAGAGCAAAAGGAAGCCAAGAATAGCCCGGATTCCTCCAGGGATTAGGAAAAACAGGGCCAGTAGCTCTGCAGGTGACACTCTGGTCCCTTCCTGGGCTCATACAAAGTTTCAGGTAACTGAGCATTACTCAAGAAATTATATAATATTAATGTATTAAAACAAACCCATCTTTACCACTTGTTTTAAATCTTTTATTTGTAACTATCTCATTTAATTCTCCAAATGACTCTATTAGGCAAGCTCTATCGTTCCCCTAATTTTATAAAAAAGGAATGCAAAGCACAGATGGCTTGTTACTTGCCCTATCTCACATCACTAGGAGGTGACAGAGGTGTCTGATCAGTCTCGGAGTAGGGGACAGGAAGCACAGAATAGAGGAGACCCTCAACCCGGCGACCAGCGGGCCGAACCCCAGCCTCTGCTGCTGGCTACAGATTCCCTTCCAGAAGGCCAAGCACATGCCGCAGCCGGCCCCGGGCCAAGCCCAGAAGCATTGCTGTCCCCCTCCTGATTCTTAAGGGTGAACGCCACTACCAAACTTCCCAGGAGCGGAAGTGGTTCTACCCACAGTTCTTTCATTACACTGCCAGAATTCTAGACCAGATAATTGTCACAGCCCCGCCCTCCTGCCGCTGTAAACTCACGGACTACACTTTCCAGAACCCTCAGGAAGAACTGTCAACGTCATTGCCTTCCTAGGGCGGAAGCTCGGCTACTGCCCTTAGAGGGTGCATTATATTTCACAGGATTCCAGAGTACAGCGCAAGCTTCTTACCCCATCCCCTTTGAGCGAAATGCCTCCAAAACCACTTGGTTCTAATCAATAATTATTTTCTACAGGAAGTGTCTCCATCCATGTGAATCCCCGGTTTGCAGGATCCTCTCCAGGTGGTGCTTCTCGGAGCCTTTCCCCTTCTTTCTTTTAGATCACTAGTTTCAGCCTGAATCAGTTCTCCTTTGCCGGTCGAGCTCAGCCTTTCAGTCCCTTTTTCTCATTTTTTTCCTTTCATATATGACACAACAAATATGAACGTCTAAAATCCCTTTTGTAGAAAAGAACAAAACCTGAAACGTGAAAGGAAACTGAGACATATGTTATAAAGGGGACGATGTGTGTAGGTTAAAAATGCAGACATTGAAATGGCATCACTGTAAGGGACATAGTATCTCAATTCTACTTTGATTGGATTTTCTACTTTATCCCATAAGCATTGGATGCATCTACAACCCTGAGAGTGTTTATGGCATTAACCATGCATTCCAACATACTAGAACCCACGAGAAAGTAAGGCAAGTTTTATTAAGACATAAAGCAAAAGCAGCAAAACTTTCAGTTTTTTTTAAAGGTTTTATTTATTTATTTTTAGAGAGAGGGAGAGGGAGAGAGAAAGAGAGGGAGAGAATCATCAATGTGGTTGCCTCTCATGCACCCGCTGCTGGGGACCCAGCCCACCACCCAGGCATGTGCCCTGGCTGGGAATCAAACCAGTGACCCTTAGGTTCGCGGGCTGGCACTCAATCCACTGAGCCACACCAGCTGGGGCTTTCAGCTCTACCTTGATATTAACTACTCATTACAAAATGCTGATCTTGAAGTGAATGAAAGGAGCTGCATGCATTGATTGGAGACATTGCTATAATATGAAGAGAAAAATATTGTGTAAAAATTTGAAATATCTTTTTGTTCAAGCAACACATAACCTACTTTTGCCTTACTCTTTACATTACAAATACAATAAAGTGTCTTAGGACTATGGAAACCAGTGAGACCACAATTTTTCTGCTAGGTGGATTGGGAAGGTTGGACTCAAATACAGAAAATCCAACAACAAAAGATATACAAAGGTTCTGCTTTCTAGATTTTCTTCTGGACAGGAACTAACATTTTTATACCTTTATATGTGAAAAATTTCAAACATATATAGAAGTACAGAAGAGAGTGGAATATACCATAGCCTCAATTCCTATATCCTAAATTCAACAATTATCAAAATTTGCCACATTTCCCTGACCTATCAATTCTATCTTCCCTTTTGTTACTGTAATGTTTTAAAGAAAAACCATGATGCTGAATTATTTTCCCCCTAAATATTTCCATTTTCTGGTATAACCACAATACAACTATCACACTAAAAAAATCGATGGTAATCTCTTAGTATTATTTCATACCTGAAAAAGTAACTCTTGAAATTTTACAGCCATCTCAAAAATGTCCATTTGTTGCATTTGTTTGTTGTCCCTTGTGTCTCTCAATCTAAACGAGTATCCCCTTCCATCCATGTTTAATTTATGACCTTGGCCCATTGAAGAAACCAGGTCATTTTTCAAGAAAGATGTCCTACATGTTGGTTCCCTCATGCTGTCATTTAACACCTTCTACAATTTCTCCTGTAGTTCTGGTAAACTATTGTACAATTTAGATTTCAAAGGAAGATTAGATTAAGGCTTATCATTTTTGATCACAATACTTCATAGGTGAGTTATTTTGGCCTTGTTCAACAGCACCAACTTTTCCTCAGTGAAGACCGCAAAACATCCTTGAATGTGACTGCTTCCTACATCAAAGACACTGTACTTCATGCATACAAATATCCATGAGAAGAACGATGTTGCAAGAGTTTAAAAGGAAGACAGGATTTTGAATGTTTTTCTCTTCTGTCCTCATATTACCAGTTTCATCCTATTAAACATCCATAGTCCTGCAAAGTATGCTGCAAGGAACATCCATGTCCATTTGATCTTGATCTTCAATCTGGGAACTACCATTGGATGAGTTCCTAGAATAGATACCCATAAATCTCAGGGACTACACATTGCACGATTAAAGTGGTACTGCTAGCACTGTCCTCCAAAACAACTTCTCTGATTAAGCCATCGGTATATCAGAACTATTTTCTCAAAATACATGCCATAAATTTTAGTGGTTTTTTCCCTTTCATAGCATATTTAAAATACTTCTACCATTTCACTTATCTGCTTCTCTGAGTTGTCTCTGTACCCCTAAAGCAGTGCTTCTTAGACAAGGTCATGAATAGTTATAGAATGTCTTATAATTTCTGAGTAACAACTGTGCAATAGATAATCTAGTAGTTACTTAAAAAC